GGCCACTGCACTCCAGCCTGGGTGACAGAGCAAGACTTCGTCTCAAAAAAAAAAAAAAAAAAAAAATTTCTCTGTCTACCTTCCTTTCATTTGACTTGAGTTAAACTTCTAGTGGCTATGAGTTGCTGTAATTCTAGCTTCTCAATATTTCATATATTTGTAGCCACTATTTCTGTATCGGAACAGATGTCTCTGCCTTCGGTCAGTCCAGCATACATGATGGCCAGATTTAATACTTAAAATTCAAATTGTCATGCCTGTAATCTCAGCACTTTGGGAGGCCGAGGCGGGTGGATCACCTGAAGTCAGGAGTTCGAGACCAGCCTGGCCAACATGGCAAAACCCCATCTCTACTAAAAATTGCAGTGAGCCAAGATCGTGCCACTTCACTCCAGCCTGGGCAACAGAGCAAGATGCCATCTCAAAAAAAAAAAAAAAAAAAATTCAAATTGGATTCTGCTACCTCTCTTCTTAAAAAAGGTCTAGTAGGCCAGGCATAGTGGCTCACGCCTATAATCCCAGCACTCTGGGTAGCCAAGGCGGGCAGATTGCTTGAGTCCAGGAGTTCAAGACCAGCCTGGGCAACATAGCAAAACCTCATCTCTACTAAAAATACAAAAAATTATCTGGGAGTGGTGGCACACACCTGTAGTCCCAGGTACTCAGGAGGCTGCAGTGGGAGAATCTACTGAGCCTAGGAGGTCGAGGCTGCAGTGAGCTGAGATCGTGCCACTGCACTCCAGCCTGGGCACCCACAGTGAGACCCTGTCTCAAAAAAAAAAAAAATGTGTAGTGTCCGCCAGGGGTGGTGGCTCACACTTGCAATCCCATCACTTTGGGAGGCCGAGGTGGGAAGATCACTTGAGACCAGGTGTTTGAGACCAGCCTGGGCAACATAACGAGACCTTGTCTCTACAAAATAATTTTAAAACAGCTGGGCACGGTGGCACATGCCTCTAGTCCTAGCTACTTGGGAGGCCAAGGTGGGAGGATCACTTGAGCCTGGGAGGTCAAGGCTATAGTGAGCCATGATCATGCCAAGAGAGTAAGACTCTGTCTCTTTAAAAAAAAAAAAAAAAAAAAAGTCTAGTGTCTTCCCACCCACTCCTTTACTTGGCATTTGAGATATTACCAGCCACTTCCTCCACAAATCTCTTCCTGCGAGCACTGTTCACTTCACACAACCTGGCCTCCAAACCCTGTGCCTTTCTATCTGCCTTTCCCCTTCTCCCCATAGCATCCTCCCCCTTATCCTTACAGACCCCCTCTTGTGTTGGTTTTGAGTCTTTCCTGATGTCTCAAGCCAAGCACTGCTGTGGCTTGTCTCTCACCCACTCTGAACTTCTTGAAGCTGAGGACCGTATCAGATTCAATTTGGTCTACTCAAGATCTAGCTCTGAACATGGTGGGTGCGTAAGAAATATTTGCTGAATAAATAGATGTCCCAGGTCCTTGGACATTGTGATTGAGTTAATGAGGAGCCCAAACGAGAAGGGCATTATGGAAAATCTGCAGGTGCACTGGCTCCAGTCCCTGCCTTGTCACCCCAGCAGTCTCCCTTTTGTTATGACCCTTTTGCCTCCTTGAGCAGTTTGGGGGGGCAGTGGCTGTCCCGTCCCCCATCTGGCCCACCCTGGCTCCTCCGGCATGTGGTGCACTGGGAGTACCAAGGAAAAGTCCCGCCCTACCCTCCCCATGAACCCTAAACCTGCCTGGCTGGCGTCCTAGCTCACGGGCCCTTCATCAGGTCTACAGTCTACATTTTGTTCTCATCTGCCACCCATTTGTTTTGTTGCCACAGACTTGGGGACAGAGAGCGTCAGTGGCACCCTCAGTTCACTCCAGCAATGTAATCCCCGTGACAGCTTTGACATGTTTGCCCAGACGAGAGGAAACTCCTTGGCTGAGCAGCGCAAGACGTATGTGGGGCCCCTTCTTGTGGCTTTCTAAAGATATTGGGGGGATTGACCCATGCCTGGTCACAGGCCAGCACAAAAAGTCATTTATTTACCATGTCCAGGACTGCCAGGAACTTTAAAGCATGGCTGTAAGGACTCGGCATTAGATGCAGATACTGAATTAACACCAACTGCCCACTGCCCCCTCCCCCCACACAAACTCTCCTGCCCTTGGGGTTGGTTGGACTAGGATTTCTCCTGTCAGTTGTAAGAGACCGCTTTTCTCTTTCTTCCCTATGCTGCTGCTGCTGCAGACACCACCCCTCATCCACAGGAGAAGCTTGGAAGCAGGAGGGTGCAGCCATGCAGGGTGAACCCATTCCTTACAGCAAGATTTTCCTGACTAAAATAAGTGGTCAGGGCAGAGGCTCCTCTGATAGCAGCTCTGGCTAGGATCAGCCATCTGGAATTCAGGGAGTTGATTCCAAAAGAGAGAATCCCCTGTATCTCAGGGAGGTGCTGTACATGTTTTGAGCTTTCTGTTCAGCCTAAAGGCGGGTGAGACACACTCTTTCCCACCTTTCCCAGGGACCCAGCATCTTGGTGCACTCAGCACCCTGAGTCCTGCTTGGGACTCAGCGGGGTAAGCAAAAACCCAAGGTCCCATGTACCTTTCACCAGCGAAAGTTGCTTGTAAAACAGATATAGCTAAAGGAGTCAGGGAGTGGAGGAAGACCTCCCCTAATCAGTGACAGTCCCAGGTCCCAGAGACTACCTTCCCTGTCAAATGCCACTGAGGCTGCTGCTTTTAAAATAAGAATTAATGTTACTTTGTGTTTATCTGGTCTTCCCTTTGAGGAGTATTAGGGCACTTTGGACACCCTGACATTGAGCTTCAGAGATGCTCAGTATTGTTACTCAAGACAGGGATATTTAGGTGCACAAAATCTAAGATCGCAGAGATTAGTGGCTCAGCCTGAGCTAGGACCCAGGCCTCCTAGCATCCACTGCAGGGAGACAGACAACATGAGCCCTTAGCCTCTGCTCAATGTCAAGGTCTCAGGAAATGTTTTTCCAAGGACATCTGAGGAAGACCATAGGACAGAAGTGATTACAAGCCCTCCATGACCACTGGAGGAAAATTAACTCTGCTCGTGCTGCTTCTTCATCTCCAGGGTAACCTATGAGGATCCTCAGGCTGTTGGAGGACTTGCTTCTGCCCTAGACAGTCGAAAACAGAGCTCAGAAGGGGTAGGTCTTTAACCCTGTGTTTTTGCCTGGAGTCTTCTGGAGGGAAAGCCAGGTGGTTTGGCAAAGCTGGCTGGGTAATTCAGCAGAAACTGGCTTGCACAGGGGGCAGATACACCCCAGGGGAGAGACCCGTGGAACCCAGGTAGTGCCTCATTGAGTCTTCACCTCACCCTGTGAGGTGATGCCACACATGAAATTCCCAATTCACCCAGGAGGAAACAGTCCCAGGGAGGTGGGAGACAGGCTGAGACACCCAGAGAGCAGACAGCAAGCCAGGGTTCGAATCCTAGGAGTGTCCAGCTCCAGAACACCTGCTCGTCCTACCACAGTGGCCCCAAGTTCTCCAGGCACAAGTCTCCTATGGTCACCTGTTACAGTGTCCCAGGGTGGTGGTCAGTGCCCTGATAAAACCATGGCCTGCACCAGGAGGGACAATGCTGACCCGGGCCACATCTCTGATGGCCATTTGCTGCTGGCCTAGCAGAGCAGTACCAACCCCATTAGAAGGCACTCGAGAGCCAGCGTTTGTTTACAGAGCTGGCATAGTTGGGTGGTGGCTGGGACGGTGTTCTGTGGCGGTGAGGGGGTGCAGCACAGTGAAGTGGAGGGAATGGTATGTGTTTGGGCCCCCCAAAACATAGCCATGCTTTCTGTACAATTTCAGATTACTAAAGGGGAAAGGATGTGTGTCTTAATGCTTCTCATGATATTTTTCTTTTTGCCTAACTAAGAAATGCGTATGGATGCATGTCTGTTTGCAGGGGCAGGGAGGAGGAGGGCCCTTGGAATAGCTGCCCACAACAGCTGGAAGTCCTGTCTGGGTCCCCCAGCTGGGCTAGAGAGGGCAGTGATCATCTGTCCACTGGACAGGAAGATTTGCAAAGGGCTGTTTGCTTCCTGGGTACCAATTTTTAGCCTTCTAAAGTCCTTGTCCAGTGAACCCAGGCAGGCAGCAGTGCTGGTTTCCAGGGGATGCTCCTTCTTGGGGGAAGGGACTCCCTCATCCATGCTGGCCTTTGCCTGGTGGATCTGAGGGCATGCATCCCTCTGCACTGGTCACCAGAGGGCGCAGAAGAGTCAGCTGGCTGCCTTGGGTCCTCAGTGCCCTGCTTTTCCACAGGAGTGGGCAGTGCCACCTGAACCCCTGAGACTGGGACACCCAAAATCAATGCAGTGCTCATGGCTCTGATTCTCCCATTACTTAGAATGTCCTCCCACCTGCCCCCAGGGTGGGCATTAGAGAGCCCAGCTAGGGGCCTACCAGGATACTGCCTGGTGAGGACATCCCCTTGTGCTGGCCAACCCTGGCTTGCACTGGGAGCAGCCCTGTTGTGTCCCTACGAGACTGACCTCATTTGTCCCTCACTCTGGCTCCAGGGCCTGCTTTGTCCATGCCAGGGCGTGTCCTGCTGCACCCCTGCCATTATCGGTGCCCAGGCCTGGGTCTGAGCCCAGGAGATGTGAGTGACTTCCTGCCCTTCGCCCTTTGCGTGTGTGGCTTGGACTAGCTCCCCGTTTTCAAAGGTCCCAATGACTCCAGCAGGTTTTCCACCCAGTGGTAGACAGATTGCTTTTTTTTTTTTTTTTTGAGATGGAGTCTCGCTCTATCGCCCAGGCTGGAGTGCAGTGACATGATCTTGGCTCACTGCAGCCTTCATCTTCCAGGTTCAAGCTATTCTCCTGCCTTAACCTCTTGAGTAGCTGGTATTACAGGTGCCCACCACTACACCCGGCTAATTATGTTTAGTAGAGACAGGTTTTCACTATGTTGGCCAGGCTGGTCTTGAACTCCTGACCTCAGGCACTCCGCCTGTCTTGGCCTCCCAAAGTGCTAGGATTACAGGTGTGAGCCACTGCACCCAGCCATCAGATTGCTTTTCATGTTTACTGCTCAATGGGGTGATGCCATGGCCACAGCCTCAGCAATACAGGGCAGCAGAGCATGTGGGCTGTGTGTGTCTACACATATTCTTGCCCACCCGCAGCATTTCAGGTTACCTTGTCCCATCCCAAGCCATACTGACCTAGAAATGAAAACAAGGCCAAGGGAGAACTTAAGAACACAATAGAAAAGGGGAAGGCTGGGCGCGGTGGCTCATGCCTGTAATCCCAGCAGTTTGGGAGGCTGAGGCGGGCAGATCACCTGAGGTTGGGAGTTCGAGACCAGCCTGACCAACATGGAGAAACCCCATCTCTACTAAAAATACAAAATTAGCTGGGCATGGTGGCGCATGCCTGTAATCCCAGCTACTCAGGAGGCTGAGGCAGGAGAATTGCTTGAACCCGGGAGGCGGAGGTTGCGGTGAGCTGAGATCATGCCATTGCACTCCAGCCCGGGCAAGAAGAGTGAAACTCCATCTCAAAAATAAAATAAATAAATAAATAAATAAATAAATAAAGGGAAGAAACTTATGTAGCCACACCTCCACAAATCAAATCCAACCAAGTCAGTCAAGAAAAGGTCATCCCAGGGCTGGGCGCAGTGGCTCACACCTGTAATCCCAGCACTTTGGGAGGCTGAGGTGGGAGCTGAAGACCAGCCTGGCCAAGATGGTGAAACCCTGTCTCTAATAAAAATACAAAAATCAGGGCTGGGCACAGTGGCTCATGCCTGTAATCTCAGCACTTTGAGAGGCTGAGGTGGGTGGATCACAAGGTCAGGAGATCAAGACTATCCTGGCCAACATGGTGAAACCCCGTCTCTACTAAAAATACAAAAATTAGCTGGGTGTGGCAGCATGTGCCTGTAATCCCAGCTACTTGGGAGACTGAGGCAGGAGACTCTCTTGAACCTGGGAGGCAGAGGTTGCAGTGAGCTGAGATTGTGCCACTGCACTCCAGCCTGGCGTCAGAGCTAGACTCTGTCTCAAAAAAAAAAAAAATTAGCCAGGTGTGGTGGCGGGCACCTGTAATCCCAGCCACTTGGGAGGCTGAGGCAGAGAATTGCTTGAATCCAGGAGGCGGAAGTCGCAGTGAGCTGAGATCGCACCACTGCACTCCACGCTGGGCGGACAGAGCGAGACTCCATCTCGGAAAA